TGGGGAACTCAGGAGGCCGGGCTTGAGGGCGAAGGCCGCGGCACTCAGGGGGCCGGGCTCGAGGAGGCCAGACAGGACCCGGTGTCGGCCGGACAGGCACCGGAGCCGGTGGGACAGGCGTAGACGGGATCCTGGACATGACCTGGGCTGGTGTCGATGGGACCACAAACGCAACAGGGCAAGGAGTAGGTAGGGCCCCCGGCGGAAGAGGACAAGGAGTTGGCAGGACCCCCGGCGAGACAGGTGACGGCGGGGCCTGCAACGGGACAGGACACAGGGTTGGCAGGACCCCCGGCAGAAGAGTAGTCGGCGGGACCCCCAACGGGACAGGACACAGGGTTGGCAGGACCCCCGGCAGAAGAGCAGTCGGCGGGACCTCCAAAGGTACAGGACACGGGGGTTGGCAGATCCCCCGGCAGGAGAGTAGTTGGCGGGGCCCCCAACGGGACAGGACACGGGGTTGGCAGGACCCCCGGCAGGAGAGTAGTCGGCGGGGCCCCAAACGGGACAGAACATAAGGTTGGCAGGACCCCCGGCAGAAGACTAGTTGGCGGGGCCTCCAACGGTACAGGACATAGGGTTGGCAGGACCCCCGGCAGAAGACTAGTCGGCAGGGCCTCCAACGGCACAGGACATAGGGTTGGCAGGACCCCCGGCAGAAGAGTAGTCGGCGGGGCCTCCAACGGCACAGGACATAGGGTTGGCAGGACCCCCGGCAGAAGAGTAGTCGGCGGGACCCCCAACGGGACAGGACATGGAGTTGGCAGGACCCCCAACGGAACCTCCAACGGCACTTGAGTAAGGACTTGAGTAGGGACTAGAGAAGGGACTGGAGAGGGGACTCGAGAGGTGACTCGAGAGAGGACTCGAGAGGTGACTCGAGAGGGGACTCGAGAGGAGACTCGAGAGGGGACTCGAGAGGAGACTCGAGAGGTGACTTGAGAGGAGGCTTGAGAGGAAACTTGAGAGGTGACTTGAGAGGAGACTTGAGAGGGAACTGGAGAGGTGACTTGAGACAGTCGGTACACCGGCAGGACACGGGGAGCTGGCGTCGGCCGGTACGCCAACAGGACTCGGGGAGCTGGCGTCGGCCGGAGAGCCAACAGGAGACGAGGTGCTGGAGTCGGCCGGTACGCCGACAGGACTCGGGGAGCTGGCGTCGGCCGAAGAGTCAACAGGTGACGAGGAGCCGGAGTCGGGAACATGGCTGCTGGGCCCGGTACTTGAGTCGGAACCATGGCTGGAACTGGGGCCGGAACCATGGCTGTATGGGCCGGTTCTGGAGCAGGGACCATGGCTGCTGGGGCCGGCACTGGAGCCGGAACCATGGCTGCTGGGGCCGGAACCATGGCTGCTGGGGCCAGAACTGGGGCCGGAACCATGGCTGCTGGGGCCGGAACCATGGCTGGAATCCTGGCCTTGCGTCTCCTAGAGACCTTTTGGAGGCTCCGTGGACCTCCTAAGGCAAGGCGGGATCCTAAGAAGGGGTTTGAGGCTTGAGGCTGGCACTCTTGGCTGCTAGTACAAATTCTTAGCTTCTCAGGCAACAAGCTCCTAAGCCAGGGCCTGCTGTCAACCTCCCTGCGTGCCTCGTTAAGGGCAGCCTCTTTGGCCTCTCTAGATGAGGCCCTCCTCCAGTCATTGAAAATACACTCCAGATTGTATTTAAGCTCATAAAGCTCTTGGCTAAATGAAAAAACTGCTGGGTCCATACTGGTCTGTTCGTACTGTCAGGTTTGGGGAAAATAGGACCCAAGTGCAGTTAAAAAATACAAAAAAAGATTTGTTAACAAAAAGCGAGCTTTATTATAAAAAGCTGAAGGCATGAAAAAACAAGAAACTAATTAACAGAAACAAAACCGGGGAGCACGACAGACAGGAACAAACTGAAATACGGGAACAGGCAGGAGACACGGACAAGCATGGGTGACAGTGACATGAAATGACGACGAACAGACATGGAGCACAGGGGAAGACAAGACTAAATACACAGAAGGGTAATCACAGGACAATACACAGCTGGGCAGGGGAGGAGAAACACAAGGGCAACAGGTGAACACACTCAGACAATTAGACACACCAGGGAAACTAACGACAGGGAGGAAAAACACAGGGAGAGGGACCAGACATTGGCCCTTTCTCATTTCTCTAACTCCCCTCCTCGACTCCTATCCTCGAGACTTAGTCCCGCTAGGGCTGTGCGATTATGGCAAAAATCATAATCACGATTATTTGGGTCAATAATTGATATCACGATTATTTTGACGATTATTCATTGAACATTTATTGAACTTTAAAACAAATAATATGTTTACCAATAAACAAGATCAACAAATATGTTGGAGTGCACTTCCAAAACCATACTAAACATATATTATTAATATGATAAATAAAAATAAATTAGACTAAATTAAATCAAATATGATGCAGTGCACTGTCACAACCTACTGAAAACTCCTTAACATATAGCCAACATTTTGGTAAAACATATTCAACATATTCCACTCAGTTAAACGTTGAAGGCTGGCCAACCGTCATGGTCCAGAAGTAACAGGAAATAAATGTTGAACTACAATTTAAGACCAAATAAAAATGTTTAGGCCACCATGGCAAATGATGGTAGGGCTGCTCATGTCATCTCTTAAAGATTTTTTGCAAGAAACACCAGCCTGTTTACATGGTCTGGTTTCAGAGATGAGCGCAGGCAGGTGACAATATTGCCACCTGTACTGAAGACCCTCAGCCACGCCCCGACACATGGGGTGACGCCGGCCAATCACAAAGCTTTGATGCGTTCAAGTGCATTATTCTGGCACAGGAAGATTATGTTACAGGACATTAACGATAAAACAGAATATTGTTGTTCTATTTTTAGACACATCTCGCGATCGACTGGTTGGGCACCCCTGGGCTAGACCATAGGTCTGTTGTGGTAGCAAAGTAGTCAGCTGAAGCCACATCTCTCTCATCTTCCCCACGGCATTTGTCATATAGTGCAGGCAGCGCAGACCTACTGAAATAATACCGAGACGGCATCGCGTAACGCTTGTCCAACGTGTTGACAAGTTGCTTAAAGCCCTGGTTGCTAACAGTGCTAACTGGGCACATATCTTTAGCGATGTGAAATGTAATGGCAAAGTACTTGCAAATAGTGGAAATAGTTTTACCCTTCTTTTTAACGAGTTGCTGCTCTTGTTCTGACATTTTCGCTCGCGCTGAACACTCACAACACATGTCACTCCCACGTGGCCGAGTGGGCTTTTAGGGAGGGGCGAAAGCGCACCCAGCAAAATAATCGTATTTTGTCAATTATGCTGTTTTCATAATCGTCGCAAGCCATAATCGTAATCGCGATTAAAATACGATTAATTGCACAGCCCTAAGTCCCGCCCACAGCAGATGCGAGCGGAGGAGCCGAGGAGAGAGGAGGGGAAGCAGCAGGCGATTAGAGAAATGAGAACTCCTCTCCTCTGAGCGGTCATTTTAAAGAGACGTCCATTAATGATGACAGGAGGCACAGCAGCCAGTGTTCATGACGACTTATATATTAGACCCTCCAGAAAAACGCGGGCAAAAATCCTTGATTATGCGATCAAACATGCGGGGTTTTATGTGATTTTATGCGGTGACATTGCGGGAAGTTGTGAAATATGCGGAAAGTTGCGAAATATGCTAAATATGCGGAAAAAATAAATATTGGGATGTCTTATTTATTTATTCTCTCTCACACACAACCTGCCACTAACGTTAAACCCCTTTACTAAACACATTCAATGTTTATTTATTGTAAAAGCAATTGGGCTATTTTAATCACACTCTCTCTCTCTCTCTCTCACGCACACACACACACTTCTCCGCCTCATTCTGTTTTCATTTCATTTCATGTTATTATATGTAGAAGATTATACTTTTTCTCCGTCATGTTGTTTCCATAGCAACAACTTCAAACAATAACAACTAACCGCTAGCCGCAAAGCTAGCTTCACAGCCACTGCTCCGTTTTCGGAGACTTTGCACACGTGTTCACAAACATTTTCACGCTAGGAGTATGGGAGTACTTCCATTCGCTTCGCCTTGATCTGTAGATGTGATTTGATGTGTCGTGTGTCTCCCAACTCCTCTCCAAAGTTCAAATACTATATAAAAATACTAAAAGGTAAATAAAACATTAAACATAATGACAAAATAACAACCTGAAATATATGTATTCTATCTACACATTTCGTAATTATCTAATCTAGTGGCCTGATAAAAGTGTTGGCTAAAGTAACGCAGAATATATATTTTTTTTAATTGTAAATAATTAGAAACATTATTTATGTGCACAAGTACATGGGACCACACCATAGCACCCCACACATAACAAGCTGTCCCGAGTTCCTCCGGCTGCAGTTCCGCAGACGGCCGGTGTGTGGCAGCAGAGCGCTGGGAGCAGAGGGAGGTGAGTATATGACGGATATGACGGAAGACGGATGCGACGGAAATACACCCGAACATATCTGGTAGTTCGAACATATTTGGTACTGACACCTGTCTCTACCTGACCGGAGTCACGCTGTGTGTGTCCGTCAGGAAACACGCTGTTTACAAGTAGTTCCAGCAAACATCCACTGATAAATTGCGATGTTAACAACATCATGATAACCTCATATGTTTTTAACTTAGGATCATACCTGTGTTTAGTCTAGAAAAAGGTAAATGTGTGCATTTTATTATAAAGTTGTGTATATTTACAGACCGTTGCAAAAACTTAGAAGCTTATACACATCAGGTTTAAAACTAAAAGAGCTTTGAAACACAATGAAAGATGTTTGGAGTTTTATTTGAGTTATTCATTTAAACTTTTTGTCTAAGAGATAATGATTTGAAACCGTTGTTACATACAGTTACGGCATTTCCTGTTTCTGCCGGAGAGAGGGGAGTTTGTCCCAAAGCTGGCTGCTGTATTTACTCCCTCCATCTGACAGGAGGGAGCCTCCTTGTTGAGCTGCGAGTGTGGCTACAGACGGAGTTTACTCCGTCACGGAGGGGTAGGGTCGAGGGAGTGGTTTGGGATTGGGCCTTCCTTTCATCTAGAGAATTCGAACGGCACTTATCATGGCTGTCACTGAGGGTCTTTCGGGTCATTTCACTCATTAGGAAGGTTCCTAAGCTAAATGGACTATTTGACTTCAGCCTTCATGTCACCTGAACGCATCATGTCTCGGCTGATAGGTGAGTGCAAAGCTCCCTAACCCCTCAACGTGTTTTCTACACAGAAGGTAACTATTGCATCGATCTTTATTTTCATGTCGGCAGTATGAGAAGTAACCAAAAAATGTCTGGGACAATTGTTGCAATGGTTATCGTGAATTAATATAACATTTTAAATCGTAGGCCTATATTGTCCAATCAAAAGGATCAATAGGATATTTTTCTTTAAATTAAATTAAATGATAGAATGTTTATCTGGATTGCTTATTTTTGACCATCTGTCAAATAAAATAGAACAAAAGACTACATCAAAATCGATATTGTTCAAGATACAGTATGATTATTAACCTATTATGACCACTCAAATGTTTTTGCAACTTCCTTATAACTCATAAACAGAAATTAAGCCAATGATTATTCCATCACTTAATCTGTAAAAAAAATGCTACATATCACGTTTAGTCTAAAAAGTTGGTAAATTAAAGTATAAAATATTAAGAGGTGCACAACATACTAAGATATATTGAAGTATAAGTAGTAATACCACATTTAAAAACGACTTAATTACAAGTAAAGTCCTGCATCTAAAAGTAGTCTACAAGATTATTAGCATCATAATTTATTTTAAATAGGGCAAAGTTGCTGTTCTTGACAAATCAAAATGTGTTTTACAATGTAAACATGACAGGAACAAGACCAAAGATCATTTTCATTAACCTCCTCCTAAATTGCACTTCTATATTCAGAACAGCATCTCTTTCTGGTGATATAATCAACTGTTTTAAACCTTTCTGTGAAATAATCGTTTAGTTCACAAAGTCCAAACTGAGTCAAACTCTCAAGTGTATTCGGACAGATTTAAGTAGAAAGAAAATGCTATTTATTGATTAAAGTCAGGATTTTGTTAATGTTGGATGTGTGCTTGTAATACCTCTCCTATCTCCATACAGGTGATCCATGTAGTACATTTTAAGTACATGTTTTCGAAGAAGTTTCTACCCTTTGCCTAGTTCCAGCAAACGTTATAACAGCAGATATCAGTCAGGGTCAAATGTCTGCCAGTCGTCACATGTTATCTGCAAATGGAGAAAAGGATTGTCTTAAAGGCCAGCTTGAATCTCACCATGAGAGTGGGATGGAAAGCCATTTTGAGCCAGACTACAGAGACAAATCGGCTGACAAGTGGAACTGGATCAGCCCTGATGTGCCCAGCAGATGTACCTGGAGCCTGGGTGCACTCATTTCAGAGTCTCCACACAGCCTCCAAGCACGGTGAGGGTGATGTTAGTCAGATAGAATTAAAGTGATGAAATAATCAATATTTGAAAACCTTATTGATAATGTAATCATTTAGTATGAATTAGTACGTAACAAAAACATTGTGAGGGGAATTCATATAACAAGTTAAATAGATAAAAACAGAAATACAAAAGAATACAAAACAACTTTAAACAGAGACTCAGCTGTGTTAGCAAGCCATTTCTGCAGATTTGGAATTATTTTCAGGGAAACCACAGCTGTAAATAATTACAATTGTAATACTATGACATTAATGCTAACTCTGCTCTATTAAAGACACTCTGTGGAGTTTTTTGGTAAGCAAAGTAATAAGACACATTTTGTGTATCCATCCAACAAACTTGTTCAATGAATTTGCAATGTTTTTGAAATCTGAAACTGGTACTGGTACATCAGTGTTTATGAAATTGCAGTCTTCTAATTCCCTGCCTTTGTTTGCATGTTTTTGTGTTTATGTCACCACCACCTGTTGATTTGTTGAATAGTAAGAACCCATTGGCATAAAAACATTCTTCAATATGGCCATAACAGTGGTTAAATACTCCACAGGGATTCCTTCCATGTAAATTACCTTCATAAGGTAAAGTGACAATATCCTATTGTATTTACTAACTGCTGATTGTAATTTTTCTTTTTCACTCAATCACAGCATGGAGCCCCCCAGCATCCTCCCCAACATCCTTGGACAAATTGGAGACACACCTCTGGTTCGTTTGAACAGAATCCCTAAAGAGTTTGGACTCAAGTGTGATATTTGTAAGTAAATGTTATTTTTTGGTAAAATCGTTACTTTTAGCTTTATATAATAAAACAACTTTGACTTATCACAAACAAATACCATAGTGAAGTGACAGAAAACATTTTCTTAAACAAAATAACAGGAATAACAAGCAACACTTTCATGTAACATTCCTCATTTACTGCTGGCATGCAAAGAAAATATCTTTGAATGAAACTTGAATTGGATGTCACTCAGCAGGTTTTTTTACAACTTAGTCAGTCAGACTAGTTCCAGTCTGTTCAGATGAAATAATGATGCACACCTGCAGTCCCTGTCACTAATTGATCAGATAATCTGCAAAAACTGAACAAGCTTCTGTTCTGTTATAGTTAACCGATGAAATAACTTAAAATAATACTATACACAACAAAATTATGTTGGGAAAAAGGAAGAAAGCAACCTGCAATGCTAACTTGTTGGATTGTGCATCCTATACTGTTACAGTGATTAACAATAAAATAATAGCAGAGACGATTAATCAAACTTCAACACTCATGTTTCTTTTTAAATGTGTTTTTTAGTAGCCAAGTGTGAGTTCTTCAACGCAGGCGGCAGCGTGAAAGATAGGATCGCCGTGCGGATGGTGGAAGACGCTGAGCGAGCCGGGATCCTCAAACCAGGAGATACAATCATCGAGCCCTCCTCTGGCAACACAGGTATCTGTAAAGAAAGATGTAGGAACAGCTTGTTATCAAGGCAAGAACACAGAAAATTATAAGTTAAAAGTAGGTAATTTTGGAGAAACCAGCTTGAGTGCGCTAGAATTTGAAAATACACAGCCGGAACAAATCTGCCACTTCCTTACAGAGCCCCTCCTCCGCGCACATGACCAATGAGGGCACGAGATAAGTTTGTGCACAGATGGAAGGCTGACAGGCAGGTAAGCCATCCAGTTATTTTAGCCGGGCCGGCTAAAATGATTGGTCGTGCTTTTTACAGTATTACGGCTTCCACAGATGACATTTTTTAATGGATTTTTTTGTCAAAGCACTTAAGATATTCATTGCTATCGGGATGTTAAGAGCATTCCATGGAATATAACAAAAAGTGTATCTCGAGCCGGTTTCTCAAACTTACCTACCCCACCTTTAAAGGAACATGGCACGTTGTTTGAATTCTCCTCTGGTCGTCTGCAGGTCTCGGCCTCGCCCTCACAGCTGCAGTGAAAGGCTACCGCTGCATCATAACCATGCCTGAGAGGATGAGCAGGGAGAAGGTACACAACTCCTTTAAAGGAATATTACCAACAAAATGATCATGTGTCAGATCCTCATCCTGCATTAGCTTACATTTTTGGAGAAAAACATAGTTTTTCTGGCACGGTTCCATGATGAACGAAGAATATATGGATAAGACAACGGCAAATCTATATCAAAACATGAGTTGACAAACCCTCACAAAATGCTTGCAGTGCAATCCAAGTCTCATTTAACTTTAACCCAAATGAATTTCACTTCAGCTCAGGATTTAATACATTGGACTTGTCCATTGTCTCACAGAGTCGCTGCGCAAATATGGACTATTTATGTTGAAGTGTTTTAAATAACATGTTTTAATGCAAACATGTATGTGTTTGTGAAGTAGTGAGCATATGACTGGATGAATGAGATTTTGATTATATTGAAAGCATAGTGTGAGACTTTGTAAACAAATGTTTTGATATAGTAATTTAGTAATAGATATGGAAATGGTCAATTTGTAGTCCTCCTTTAATGATCAATACTAGTGCATTATAGACTAGTGGCGAATTAAATGTAATTCCACTATATGTTTTTAGGAGGATGTGCTGAGAGCTCTCGGGGCAGAAGTAGTGCGCACACCTTCTGCTGCTGCCTTCGACTCCCCAGAGTCTCACATAATCATGGCGTGGCGTCTGAAGAGCCAGATACCCAACTCACACATCCTAGACCAATATCGTAATGCCAGCAATCCTCTGGCTCACTACGACACCACAGCTGAAGAGATACTGGAGCAGTGTGGTGGTTTGTGCTTTAACATTGTACGGCAGTCCACAAAATATGATGTAGCTCAGTGATGCTCTATGCTTTGTACTTTAGAAGACCAACATGTGTAAAACAAATTCAAGGAATAGCCATAAGTGTCTTGTGTAGATTTATGCTAAACAAAGATTGGAAAAGAAAGGGTTGCTTTTGCTTCCAGGGAAATTGGACATGTTGGTGGCAGGAGTTGGCACAGGCGGGACACTAACTGGTGTAGCTCGGAAGTTGAAGGAGAGGTGCCCCAATGTCAAGGCAAGACACACACCTCATTGTGATTAAGAACCTCATTCATTGCTTTTTATTTAGCTAAAACGATTAGAAGATGTGTATGGAGAACATGTGAAGTACAGTTGAGTTTATGTTTCAGGGCGGTGGTGCTGACTTTACATTTTTATACTTCAGAGTTTACAGTTTTCACTATTGTTTTCTATGTTTCAGATAGTTGCTGTGGATCCGGAGGGCTCCATTCTGATTGGATCAAATGAAAATAAGACTTCTTATGAAGTGGAAGGCATTGGATACGACTTTATCCCAACAGTGTTGGACAGATCTGTGAGAGAGTTTGTTCATGCATACATTTAAACTGTGCAAGATGCACATTTTGGTTTAATCTGCACACTGAGCAATAATCATGTGTTTCCCTCTCCCTTCATGTAGCTTGTTGACATGTGGTATACATCGACTGATATGGAGACGTTTACCATGTGTCGCAAGCTGATCAGAGAAGAGGGCCTTCTTTGTGGTACGATCACTGTGATACCGTTCAGGTTTTCCTGATATTGTACATTTTGCTACAGTCATTAGTTTCCTCTCATTAAGTTTGAATTCCTTTTTGTTTTTTTCTGCAGGTGGCAGCTCTGGCTCGGCCATGGCAGCAGCAGTGAAGATGGCTCAGCAGCTGGAGGAGGGACAGCGCTGTGTGGTCATCCTGGCAGACTCTGTCCGCAACTACATGTAAGACACAGATTTACTGAACTCTCGTAACATTACTTAATAATATTGACACCCAGAAAGATAAACATCCAATTAACATGGTGCTAATTCTACTTGATTTAACTGAGCCTCACTGTTATCCTTGTGTTTTGGTGTCTTCTACTGAATGTTGGCTGCTTCTGATTATGATTACTGGATTCTATTGTTGTTGTTGCTATTTGAATAATGATTTGCTTTTATTTAAATATTTTATTAATTTATTTTTGTTTTTTATACATCTTTGAGCTTTTGTGATCTCAGCTAAATAAATAGTTGGCCACAAAACAAGTGTCCAGTCAGGATTATCTGTTGTTTTAATTTGCCTGTCCACCATGATGAAGTTACTAGGAAACAGACAGACACTTTGATACTAAACCAAAGGGCCTGGCTGTTAGGGGAAGACACACAACAACACATTGCTGGCTGCATCCCCTATTAATGATGGAAAGTAAAACTTTAGTCTCGAGCCTAACCAAAACGTGGTATTGTGTCAAAAACAAGAGTCGCCAATTATCTGTTTTGTTATGTGCACAAACTCATTGCTACGTCCAGGTCAAAGTTCCTGAATGACAATTGGATGTGTGAAAAGGGCTTCCTCAGCCCCAAGGAGCCAATGGACCTCAAACCCTGGTGAGAAAGTTAACCATAAGGCTAACGGGAAACCTTATCCAGATGTCAAATAACTTCCTCTCTCTTTAAGGTGGTGGAACATGACGGTCCAGTGTCTGAAGCTGTCTGCCACCTTCACTGTGTTACCGTCTGTGTCCTGCCAGAAAACCATAGAGATCCTGAAGGAGAAAGCCTTCGACCAGGCCCCAGTCGTCGATAAGTCAGGGTATATCTCTTCATAAGAATGTTTGATTGTTTTCATACACAACTTTGTTTTTATCTGGTCCTCCTCTCATAGCACAACCTGCTGTTTTTAAAGACGTAGTATAAATGATTACATTAATTTAAAATATATATATTTTCCCACTATCGAAACCCCTGGGTCTTCCACTATTTATTTCAATCATTAAAGTCAATTATGTTTAAGTTATAGAGCCCAATTTCAACAGAATAGCCAACATTTCCTCAGGTTGCATTAAAGGCACAATGATCAGGTTTTGTTGGTTGCAGTTTGTAAACACAACATCAGCTTCACAGTCTCTCTTTAACATTTGCTTTGTCTGCATGTTTTCTTTGCCCTGCTACTGTATATATGCTATTTATGAGCTGTATTGTCCATGTTCATAGCTTTCTCGGTACCACTTTACAATAAGACTACCCTTATAAAGGGTTTACGAATAGTTTGTAATTAATTTATTAATTAGGTTGTGAACACTTTATAAATCATTAATAAGCTTTTATAAGACATGAGATAAACAGGGCAACTGTGACCGGTTGCTTGCCAAATAGTGAGCCCACATTTATCTGTACTGCTAAACCTTATATTGGCTACCTAGCTTACTTCATCTTCTTCATCAGCCAGCATCCTTGGTATCTGTTGTTCACCGAGTTGATTCTGCCCCCATCCATCTTGATGTTTCTTGGCATCTCTTATGACCATCTATGAATGAGTTACTAACATTTATAACTGCCAAAAGGGAGCCTTATTGTAAAGTGTAAAACACATTCCAATTTATTAATGAGTTACTACCATTTATAATTGGTAAAAGGGAGCCTTATTGTAAAAAGTGAAACACATCACCATCTATTGATGAGTCACTAACATTTATAACTACTGAAAGGGTGCGTTGTTTTTAAGTTTAATACACATGTCTATTTATGAATGAGTTATAACATTCAGGCTTACCTAATACACATTTTTCACATGAAATGCAAAGTAAGATGCAACAGAACCAAGCAAAACATTTTATTCACACATGAAGAAAATCAGGACTCAAAATAATCACTATTTAGTATGGCTGATACACATATGTAAACATAAAAGCTTTTCTCAGACATAAATGAAAGACTTGGTAAGACATAATGGTACTCAGACTGGAAAGGCTTTGTGTATATCCTTGAACAAGCGTCCAAGCTTCATCAGGGTGAGCAGAGCCAAGCCAAGATGACCATTCAAGAACCTTGAGGTGTTCCTCCAACAAACTCTCTGTACGGTTTCCTCTCAGTCTACGGACCTTTGACGGCCGACCAAGCTCTTTCTATATGTTGGATATGACTGCCAGTCTGGGGGTTCACAAACCACCTGCTGTGGTTTATGGTGTAGTGGTTGTACCCCAAGTTACTCAGCACTCTCCTGTATGCCCTCCACTCATCACTAATAATGCTACTTCCTGACTTAACATGCCGTCTAATCAGAGGGACAAGGTGGCATCTTGATCGTTTCTCCACTAGTTTCAACACTAGTCTCCGCCTTTTGTCTTTAACTCCCATCATTCCGAAGACCCATTTCTTCCTTCTCCAGGTATGTCCAAGGAAGGGCCCTCAGATTTTGAGATACTCCTACCCGAGGTAGAACAAAACACAACAATGATTTTTCTTATCTTTAGGGTCTCCCATTAATGAAATTGATTGTTGTCAAATTTTATTTTGGGGGAAAAAATGTTTTTTGGGTTGTTCTTTAGAACTACCCCAATCCCTGAAAAAGAGCCAAATTAGACCAGGCTGAATATGGGAAAGGTGACACAAAAGCCCATAACGTGAGAATGATCACTCTTTTCCTCTTCAGATTTGCTGAGGTATGAACCAGGTCGCTGTCCTACATCACCAAATAGTCAGACAATTATTTACCTAAAAGAATATTGAATTATAGTCCTGTAAACTTAGCTTTAGTTTAGACGGAAATTGTACTTTTTGATGATAGGAACACAGGACTCCATCACTTTTCTCTCATTTATCAGGAAAACAGTAATCCCTAAAAAATATACCATTACTGAATTGTCTAGGGTGCTATTGAACACTAACCAGTATGGACATATCTGGTATACAGTTATATTGCAAATGAGATTTCTTTAGACATAGGCCTACCTCTTCTCTGAAACAGTCAAATTCCGAATGGGGGATAAGTGGCATAATAGCCGATAAGTTAAGAATGCTCACTCTGGGGTCATCATATTTGGAGAGGGAAATACCAGGTGGCATCACCAAATAGTCAGAATAACAGTAACCCAATAAAATAAAGTGTATTAGTTCTAAATTGCAAGCCTCTAAAACATAGGTGTAAATAGTACAGGTTTTATTGAAACTGGAACCTTAATTCAAAGTACAGTATACAAATCATCAAATAATTCTGTGAGAGGTCAAGTATATAGATACTAGAATATAATGTTAAATGTCAGGTTCCTCAGAAACGTTGGGGGACACATTTTGACACAGCAGGGAAGGCCAACAGAGAGGCACTGGCACTTTCCACTCTCTCCACACTTTGCATTTTTGCAATACAAGTGAGTAATGTCTCTCACTTCTGTATGTGCTGGGTTTTTTGTAAATAGCACTGGTTGAATAGCCCAATCTCTGATTATCACATAAATAAAGTTCTCGAATTTCACTTACCGCAAAACCGCATTCATGCACCGTCTGTTTTATCTGCAGAGCGAGTCACAATAGTCCGATATAAGCATGAAGAATAGTCCACAAGGCACCAGCACAACAAACACGGCCGAGTTCAAGTTATGTTCCCCGGATGAGTTGAGCAGGCTGAGCCCCTGTAGCATCACGGAGCTGCTAGCAGAGTAGAAATCTAACAGCAGCAGTCAGTGGACAGACCTGTCACTCAATGTGACCACGCCCTCATTTATGCATACCTTTAAGGCTTAATATAACTTATAAATGGTAGTAACTCATTCATAAATGGTGATTTGTTTAACACTTTACAAGGCTCCCTTTTGGCAGTTAACCCTGGTCATAAAGAGATGCCAAGAAACATCAAAATGGAAGGGGGGAATCAACTCAGTGAACAACAGATACCAAGGATGCTGGCTGATGAAGAAAACGAAGTAAGCTAGTGCCAATATAAGGCTTAGTCATCTTGCCAAATAGTGAGCCTGAGTTGATTTATGAAAACTATATTAGAACTGGTTAATAAAAATGGTTCTTAATGATTAATAAAGTGTTTACAACCTAATTAATAACCTAATCATAAACCCTTTATAAAGGTAGTCTTATTGTAAAGTGGTACCGCTTTCTCTTTTTGAATGTGCACTTCTGATTTGTAAACCTACGTCTACACTTGACTTCCAGAAATGTCCCGAATATTTAATCAGAATACTGATATCATTATACCGGTACAGACAGTTTACACTCCTCATTTAAAGCTATAGGAATTGTGTCATAGCTAATAGATTATCTGTTTGTGTGTTTCCACAGTGTGATCCAGGGGATGGTGACTCTGGGAACAATTTTGTCCTCTGTGACGGCCGGAGAGGTCAAACTCTCAGATGCTGTCAGCAAGGTGCTCTGCAAGCATTACAAACAGGTCGGTCCGTAGAAACACATTGTTTAGCATACTAAAACATTCCATGCATTCAAAGTGAACATGTTTACATGATGTACTCCCTATACTTGTTCTCCCAGCTCCACCTGACAGATAACCTGGGCAAGCTGTCTCACATTCTCAAAACCAACCCCTTCGCCCTGGTGGTGAATGATGCGGCTCAGAGTAAGATACTATTTTGTTTAGGTTGGTAAGCTTATTGCTTTTCTGCAACTCAGCACAGATGGGTTGATAAAGGACTCCACCAGGGGCGTCGCCTGGACCTGAAAACATTCGGGGCTTAGCCCACAGTGGCGGCGGCGGCTGCACTACAGTGGCATTTTCGACTGCAACACTCCCCACACGTACACACAGTACACCCGCAAATGTTACAATAAAGGCTCGATAATCAGCTCACGGCATATAGGCAGGGGTAAAGTGCTATTTTTTATGAGTGGGGGGCGGACCTCACCTCCTCTAGGGGGGTCCGGGGGGATGGTCCCCCGGGAAGATTTTTTTTAAATATTGAAGTTAAAAGCATCAATATAGTGCACTTTGAGAGCAACATTAAGAGATCTATGGATACATCTCTCAACACCCATATGAAACAGAACTGTAAACAGATTTTCTTTATGGATATTTTACAAATCACTCCCCTTTTAAACTCTATTCTTGTTTTACTGCCATATAGACTATAATGATCATATGAAGGTGTGCCGCGGATATAATCTTTTGAATAATTTGTGACCAAACCGTTTAAGACCCACTGAGATAACGGCGCATTCACACCAGCCTTTTATAGTCCGGTTGAATCTAACCCTGCTGCGTTTAGCCGCTTGGTGCGGTTCATTTGGGTCGGTGTGAACGTATTCCGAGACCTCTGAAGTGAACTAAACAATCGGACTCTGGTCCGCTAAAATAGGTGGTCTCGGAACGCTTGCTTGCGAACTCTGGAGCGGTTCATTGCTGGTGTGAATGCAGTCCGCACCAAAACATAGGAAGGGTAGTATTTACGTATTACAAGAACGCGGATGTCTTAAAAAATCTTTAGCGAAAGAGTCTTTCAAGACATCCACGGTTGTTAATTTAAAGAGTGAAGCTGAATTAAGTGTTGAACAGTGTCGTGTAAAGTAAAAATGCTCCGTCAACTACATAAAAGTAAGAACACCTGTCGTCGGTGAAACGCCCCTCCTTACTGCAGAACGTCTCTCATTATGTTATAATGTTTTTTAATGGACCTTGTCTGATTATATAATCATATGCGCAGGCCGCTAGTGTCTGTTGATCTCCAGATTAACAGCAGCATGAGAATAACCTGCCGAAAGTGCCGATGCTCCATGGCGGAGGCTCCGGTAGAAATTGCCGGGATTTGCGTTTTTACCCCCTTAATGTCTGACCAATGGTTGAACAGCATTTCCGTGCACATGACTTGTGTTTAAAGTTTATAGTCCGTTTGAGTTTTGCCCGTGTGAACGCAAACCGAACTGGTGCGTCTGGTGCGCACCAGAGAAGCGGACTATTAGGTGTGAATGCAAGACTAAAGTGAACTATCTAAGCACTCAGAGAGTCCTTTAGCTCACCTGAGTCTCTCAGTCTGAGAGGAGAGGACCCTCTTCCAGCTTGTTGTGGAACAAACAGCTCCTTATGTCCGTTATAGCTTAACCAGATAGATGCTAACAACACACGGTCCCGTGCATGCTACTGGTCAAAGGGGGATCAGGGAGAGCGAGAGAGAATAGTAAGAGAGAGAAGAGAGAGAGAGAGAGAGAGAGAGAGACGAGAGCGAGAGAGAGAGAGGCTCTCTCTCTTCTCTATCTCTCTCTCTCCTCTCTCCTCTCTCTCTCTCTCTCTTCTATCTCTATCTCTATCTCTCTCTCCCTCTCGATCTCTCTCTCTCTCTCTCTCCTCTCTCCTCTCTCTCTCTCTCTCTCTCTCTCTCTCCTCCCTCTCTCTCTCTTCTCTCTCGATCACACTAAATGCGCTATTGCCACACACACACAGAGCCGAGCTTGAATGACACAAGCACACGTTTATTTCCATGCAACTCTCTGATTGATCTGGTGTCATGCCTCTGTTGCATTCACTGAACACGGGAAATTACAATCCTACCGTCCTCTCTTGTGTCATGATGAAGTTCACGTAAAGCACGGTCAATGTATTATATTATTGAGGGAGAATTGTCCGGGGCTACAGAAAAAACATTCAGGGCTTTAGTCCCGAATGCCCAGGCCAGGCGACGCCACTGGACTCCACCTAGTGGCTGAAATCTTAAAACAGGGACATTTGTTGCTGTGTTTGAAAAAGCCTGGAGCCTTTCGCACACTGATTGAATCCATAAAGTGCCTTTAAACTCACATATTCATTTAAAGTCTCCCTTCCCCTAGAAAAAAAGAGACATTTCCTCTTTTGTTACTTAGGCCTACGTAAGCTTCACTGTGCAGAATCATGTACGTGCAGACACTGTTTTTACATTTAGATGTTGAAGGAAACGTTTTTTTGTACTAACTCAATTCTCAGTTTATTTGATGTGTCCATATATGGTTTAAAAGAAAATCATGGCCGGATAGCATTTTCTTTGGAATTTTGCATTTGTTTAATTGTAGATGGTAGATTAGGGATGACAACATGCAACACACATCATGAGCTGATCAGTAGTGATGGTTTTGGGTGTGAAGGTGATACAATTGCTGCTTCATTTTGATAATGTTGTCCACTTTAAATGTGCTTGTCTAGGCTGATATTGTTGTTAAGGATTTTTAGAGAGTATTGTCAGTGTAACTTCAGTCTACTCTGTCTCTCCAGATGTGGCTGATGGGTCAACTTGTCAGAGGCAGATGGTGGTGAGTGTTGTGACACCTATTGACCTCCTAAACCACATCACCACACACAAGATGCTGGATCTCTCGTCCACACCGTCTCTGTGAGCACTTCCTGTTGAAGATATCTATAACCTCCTGCACACCATGAGGCAGCACAGAAGTACTCTCTCTTTTATATAATTAAGTATTAAAAGAAGTAAAGGAAGTTATCATGGCCACACATTTTTCATACACTTGTTTCATATCAAAATCATTAATTATAAGTTTTAATTGATTATTGATTCACTGATTAGCGAATATAAAAAACACTGTTTTATTCAAGTTAAAGTAAAAAATGTGCAACATTTTGTTTAGTCAGTACATTTCTTCTTGTAAATGTGAAATGTTCCCAAGAATAAAATTAGTTTTAATTAAAAAACAAAGTTATTTGAATCAAATCTATCACCTTTGAAGTTTATATAAATGTCCTCATTCTGAAGTTGACCCGTTTGTCTCTCATTCCCACTGTTCTAAAATGAAGTTACCATGGTGAGCGGGTGAATTGCTCTATACAGTCGGTCAAGTGCGAATTTGGTCGAACTTTGTCATACTTCATGATAAAATGTCTTCATATACACTCTTTACAATTATTATTGTTGATAGACTAAAGCTAACTGCTGCTAACATTGGCCGCCTTTAGCTAATTAGCTAGTTAGCTTTGAGTGTCGCTCAGGGTCGGCTCTAGAACAAATCGAATGGGGGGGCAATCATTTACCAAGGGGGGGCACACACTGCCGTCAACAACCAACACACAAACACCAACGCAACTTCAATTTAAAAAAAACATGCTGTCAAGTCTATTGTCTTTCACACACATTGCAGGGGTGTAGTGCTATTGTATAGCGCACCTATGACTTGTGCATACATGCACGGTTGTGGCTGGCACGACCACCAAAACAGAAACATATAAGGACAGAGGGTGTCGTTTTCTCATACTGATATTCTGCATAAACTGTGCTGTTGTATTTGCTGTAAAGTGTCTTTACTGTAGGTTATTTTTTATTATATGTACAGCACTTTGTACATTTGACCAAAAATCGTTGAAAAATGTGCTATATAAATAAAACTTGATTTGATTTGATATGGACATAGGCCACCATATAAAAAGTGTGCAAATGTATTTAGTATCCTATCCATGTGAACATGTTTTAGGTGGGGGTGGACCTAACCTCCTCTAGGAGGGTCTGGGGGCATGCTCCCCCGGGAAGATTATTTTTAAAATATTGAAGTTAAATGCATCAATCTGGTGCACTTTGAGAGCAAAATGAAGAGATCTATGGATAGCCTACATCTCTCAGCATCCATATGAAACAGAACTGTACACAGATTTACTTTTTCTTTATGGATATTTTACTAATCATTCCCCTTTTAAACTGTATTCTTGTGTTACTGTTAGGGGTGTAACGGTACACGTACCCGTACCGAAATTATTCGGTACGGGCCCTTCGGTTCGGTACAGGTGTGTACCGAAGTGTACCGAACGAATATAACGTTAAACGTAAAAAATTTAGAACGTGAATAACTTTTTGGAAGTAATCTCAGGTGCTGCGTCGCAGCATTCAGAGTAATTTGCTCACATTGGATTCAACGCGTCATAGAGCGAGCAAGTCATTTCATTGGATGAGAGGCATACTATGAAAGCTGGTCAGAGGGATGCGTTAAAATGTAGTCAGTAATTTGAGGAACTGTCAAAAATTAATGGCGAACGCAGATAAAGTTGAGCTCGAAAATCCTCCAGCATCATTGAAGTCTCCGGTTTGGGAACATTTTGGTTTCACAGTTACGTACAAGGATGACGGACAAAGACAGGTGGACTGAACCAAAGCTGTTTTTCGGCATTGTTCAACTAAAATTGGTTACGCGGCTGGCAATACATCAAACTTGCACACTCTTGAAAAGGCATCACCCGAACGTGAATATCACCGGTACCAAAAGAAAAAAGACTGATGTGCAAACCCAACTCCCACTAGCATTTAAGCCTCCACCACTCGCAGAAAGATCAGACCGAGCCAAAGCTATTACAAACACCAAATATCCTTATGTTGCCATGTTAGCAAAGCGCTACCTGGCTGTATCTGCTACCTCTGTCCCTAGCGAGAGGGTTTTCTCCACATCAGGAGACATTGTTAGTGCCAGCAGATCTGCCCTTTCGGCAAGCAATGTGGACAGGTTAATCTTTCTTTAAAAAAACATGAAAATACAATGACAAGCAAGTCCTAATGTCAAACTGGCTGCTTAGGTGCTAGTACAGTACAGTTCAAATACAGATTATTTCAGTTCATCGAAATGCTGCACCTTAATGTTCATTTTATTATATTTTTTATTTATTTGAGTGAATATTCACAGTTTAATAATAATTAAAAACCCAAAACTAATAGTTTATGTTTTGTGAGTACTAGTACAGTAAAGTTCAAATACAGATTATTTCAGTTCATCGAAATGCTGCACCTTAATGTTTATTTTATTATATTTTGTATTTATTTGAGTGAATACATTATTCACAGTTTAATAATAATAATAAAAATATATATATATATGTTTTGTTTTGTGAAAAAAAAATCTGCTGTACCGAAAACGTACCGAACCGAACCGTGACCAAAAAACCGAGGTACGTACCGAACCGAAATGTTTGTGAACCGTTACACCCCTAGTTACTGTCCTATAGTATTTCATACCCGTTTTTCATTTATTCTCTCTTTAATAACTATAATGATCATATAAAGGTATTCCTCGAAAATACTTACATAAATGGTGACCAAACCGTTTGAGACCCACTGAGATAACCTACACTAAAGTGAACTATCTAAACACTGAGAGAGTCCTTACCTCACTGGGCTGACGTTATAAGATCCTCACAGTCTGACAGGAGAGGACTCTCCTCCACCTTGGTGTAGAAACAGCCCTTTATATCCGTTAGCATAGCTAGCTAACCAGATGCTAACAACATTCCACGTTACCGCTCGCGCACTCACAAAATGCGCTCGTGCCACACACACACAGAGCCGAGCTTGAATGAAACACAGAGACCCATGTACTTGTACTGTACTGTATTATATCATATTATTTTCGATGGCTTTACTGTATAATCAGTGTAACAGATGAACAGATCGCCACTGGGCTTTCATCTAAACACACAGCCACGTAATGATAACCAAAAAAAGGTCGGGGGTCATTGGTCAAGCAACACACCAATCAGAGAGCAGCAGTGAGCACACCTCAGGCTGTGTTTTATATTTGTATTCTTTATTTCTGATGTATTTCACACAAAAAACCTTTAGTGGAAACGTTTTCACTTATATGATTAGAAAAAGAAAAAAACGGCAAAGTGGCAAGGCTTGCCAACCCTGCGTTGGGGGGGCACAGTGACTCATTTGGGGGGGCATGGCCTGCGAATGACCCCCCATGACGCCGACCCTGGTGTCGCTGCTAACGCAAGCGCGTTGGATGGACGCCCCGGGTGTCAGAACCAGAACCGGGAACGGGACCAGGCGAAAGTGAAACAGAAACGGGTTCAGCAGCCTCTACGGAAAAGTGAGTGAAATAAGATCGCTTTTTTATCTCGTGTTTTTGCAGTTGCACTTTGTGATGTAAAGTTGTCATCTTGCTAGTTATTGGTCGATCACAAGTAGCCTACACATATTAATATCCTTCTAAAACTAGCAGCACTAAATTGCAAAAATACCAAATATTGTTGATTTTATTTATTTATTGAATTGTTTATTTGGCAGGGACAATGCACAGTAATGAACACTTAAAACATTAAAATGTGTCAACATACATGCCAACCTTTCCAAATCCAAAAGAGGTAATGTGCACGCCCAAATTAGGTAGCTTAATCAGAAGAAATTGAACCCCAGTAATTACATGTATACCCCATGTATTTAACATATATTGCATCATTTTAAGCATTTATCAGAAAAAGTGGAAGTTTGTTAAACAGTGACATCAACGACATGTTTGGTCTGTAAAATGCCCGAAAAGTAAAAGAATGGGAGATAAATATCCCAAAGTCTCTACATTTTATTATATTTTGAATGTGTTTCTGGTCGTCTTTCAGTTGAGACAGTGTAGTCAGTGTTTCTCAAACTTTTTCATACCAAGGACCACCTAACCAATAAAAAAACACTCACGGACCACCTAACTCCACAAATATCCAAAAACACATCGTTTTTTACAAATCACCTGAAAATGGTACAAACAAGTGGCAACATGTGTGATGAAGGTGTTTATCTGGGCTATATCATGCAATCGAAAGTTAAACTTAAGCTCGCTCCATTGCGCAGATATTCCCGCGAGAGTGCGGAAAACTTAAATTTATTTATTTATTTCAAATGTGAAATTTTACCAATATACTCACGGACCACTAGGGGGCGCTCACGGACCACCAGTGGTCCACGGACTATGGGATTAGTTTTGTATCATAAAGATAAAGCAACACTTTCTCAGAATAAAGCAAAACTATGAGTTTAAAAGAAAAAAAACTGAGTCAAGCAAAATAAAATAAATTTCAATAATAAAACTATAAGTTGCAAACAAATCATTTATGTAATCATGTAAACTATAAGTATTTTTTCTTTGTTTTAACATAGGTTTTTGTTTGCAGTTCTTGTTTCTTCTTTCTCAATGATCATACTTTTGCTCTCGCTGCAGCTCTCTCATTTGCGCTCCTTCACTTTTTGTTTGAGATTCTGACACAAACGTCCCAGGTGGGCGGGACTTTCAGGGGTGCGTCCCCATTGGCTACTCAGTTTTTAAGTTACAGCCCAGTCGTCCAGCGATTGTACAGTGCAGGCAGCTGCGGTGCGGTAGCTGAGCGTGGATAGAACACCCGCAGAAGAACCAGCATTTCAATGATTATAATACTACAAGTGAAAATATATGTAAGTATTGATCATTTGTGCTGTACTATACGGTCTGTTTCTTTATTGTGTTAAGTGAGAAGTAAAGAAAAGCTGTGCTATGAAAGTTAGCTTTTGCTAACTTTAGATCCATAACAATGCAAGCTAGTAGCCTAATAGCAGGGACAGTTACGGCCCGTCTACACTACAGGCATCAAAAAATCTTGAAGCTGGGCGTGTCTGAGGCTTGGCGATTTCTCGCGCCCAAGGCGACCAACAACCAATCAGGAATCTCCCGCCCACCCCCGGCATACAAAGCAATAGCAATGTTAAAACGAAGTAAACTGGATATAAAATCCCCAAACAGGCGAAAACCTACCAGTTTCATCCACTGTCTCTGCCACCTCCCTCCATGCCTCGCTCCTCCGGTTTGTATCCCGGGAGATGAACAGAGACTGATCATACAGCACCGGGTGATTCACTACCGCTATAATGAATTTTCCCTCCATTTTTTGGAATATGAGGAAATGACCTGCGTAGT